GGTTTTGTAGCTCCAACGTTAAAGCGCTAGGTACCAGGTTAGACATGTCCACAACGGATCAACCGCAGACCTATGATCAAACTGAGCGTTTCAAATGTGTCTTCGGTGACATCCTGCGTAGCATTTGTGCTTAAACTACAAAGCGTTGGAGCTCTATTCTTCCTGTATTCCAGTTTGCTTTAACAGCGCTGTTCATGTCTCAACCGAATTTATTTTTAATCCGCGTGAATGGTCTCACTCAGCACCGCGGTCCGATAACGCTTCCACTACGTGGTTTTGGGAAGATCAGCAGATGGCTTGCTGATGTCAGCCCAACTATAGTTCAGAAACAGGTGAGAGAGTTTTTTGCTACGTGATTGAATGTGTTACGACATGTACGTAACGCAATGGCTGATAGACAGGACAAATAAAAAGAGCAAGCTGGTGCCGAAGGAAGGAAGTTTATTAAGAGTTTTTAAGTTGTAGATCTGATTTTAATCAACGCACAGCATCTACCTACCAAAAATGTGTCAGCAATATGCGGAACCAAGTTGCGTCTTCGCTTCATTTGTCCATTTAGGGTTGTGGCCAAGAAAAGCTTAGCGTACGCGCTTAACCTTACACGAAAGATGCGAACACCCAGTGTTTACGTCAGCGTGCTTAAGCCTTATCTTGATCCGTCGCTCGTGGATCACAAGGAGCTTGCGCCGAAAGAATTAGCGATACCGCAAGTCGAGGAACCTTCAATAGAAGTACCAGTTGTCTTTTAAGACGCGTCACTTGGTCACGCAGACCGTGCACCTCGTACATTAATTTTTCAACGACGCCTCGTGATTCATCGATCACCGCCTGCTATCGTTGACGAGCAAAAAGTTCAACAGTCCCATGTTAGACAAATCCTGCAGCGACTTCGTCGCGACAGTCAGTACTAGTACTTGGTACAGTGGCGAGGGTAATCGGAGTCGGAGAGCTCATGTGAGTACGAAGTGCCACTGTGGCACGATTGTCTGTATGCCGTTGAAGTTTTTTGAACATCGTCTTAAGGTTCAGTCGACCCGTACTGCTTCCCACTAGTTGGTGTGAAAGTGGAGCGGGATGCAGCTGCAGCAGGTGCGCTAATGCGCGGTTACATAGCTGCCGCAGTAAATCGGGTGCGATAGAACGAATGCAGTTGGCCTTTGTTCTATTACTATGAAAAATTAAAGCGCATCTTCCGTTTGAGCCGAATCTCAGCAAGTTAAGCGCTCTACTGAATATTCCACAGGCTTGGTAGATGATGAGATTTGTGAGCCCAACGCATGAAGACGACACCATTTTCTTCTCCGTCCCACCAGGGAAGAATACTATAGGTACTGTCCGCATGGCAGATACTGACGCACCACGTGTTTGCAGATTTAGTCTTTCGAGGTAATACACTAGACCCCCAGGTATCTCGCTCTGAGAGCCTCCCTCTCCGCTAGTGATGTGGCTGTAGCATCCTTAGGTCCCATGACTTATGTTGCGAGTGACTACCCTGCAGTCTGACGAATGCGTTCATTTACACTCGGTTGTTTGAAGCAGTACCTACTGTGAGCATACGCTGTGTCTACACATTGTGCTTGACGCCTGCAAATTTTGACAGACTGAATATATTGAGCTTGATCTTCATCAAGTGAGTTGTGCGACACACCCAACACAGGTTCGACAGCTGCAAGCTGCGCATAGAGTGCAGGTATCTCTTCGTGTTTAAAATAGAAGATTGGGCGCGACGAGCGCCCAATCTGGTGTCACGCGCCGGTGGCGTAGCTGGAGGGTTATCGTAGATACTTGAAGCGACTGTGTCACTCTCATCTTCTACCATACCCTCTTCGAGGAATTCATAATGGTGTTGGAAGAAGGCTTTGACTCAGTCATCGAGAGCTGTGTTGCAAAGATGATGGTCAAGGACCGGAGCGTTGAGATCTTAATGAGCAGAAGAAGAATTGTCGACACAAGGGTGTCGACAGATTTATTGGGGAGGGTGTCTCGAGGTTATACGCATTTACTGAACCGGTTATGTTGAGTATCTACACTAAGTAAAGATTGATGGATCTGAGTGGTACAGTGTTGGTACCATGTGCTTACGGTAATGCCGCACCTTATTGAGTAGGGATAGGGGATACGACTTCTGTCATAGGATCGCAATGTTGAAGTCAGTCAGACACGATTTATGGGTTAATTATCGTAGTTCAAGAATAAATAAAGTTCAGTTCTCCTTTTTATTCGTAGGCACAAAGGCCTCGTAACGAGGCTACACTAGCCATTTCTAAATTGGTTGAAGAACTCCCATATGTGATTTGGGAGACAAGTGTGGCCTTAGATTTTTATCAATAGAGTATAAACCGATTAGTCGGTATTCTTGAGTTACGGTACTTAACGTGGAAGTACTTCGTGCCGTCATCATTTGATGACTGAGTGATGTGCCAACCATCCATTTAGTTTGAATGCTAGTACTTGTATCAGTTCTAGTTTAGTATAATATAGGGTACTTTAAGTCGGATTTTCCTTGACATTAAATCTAAAATAAACTTAGTTCTGAGTTTGTGCAGAAGTTCGTAGACTTCCACCCTTTTGCACGTTGCGTTTGAAAGTTCCGTAGAACTGTCGTGGGTTAGAGAGTCTTTAGACTCCTGTATTTCCCTTGAAGATTTAGCGTGTAGTCCCTTAGAACTACAGTCGATGCAAATGGCTCATAGAGTCCGCACTAGATCCGTAGAACTAGCCGACTCTTACGCTTGATGTAACAGTTCTTAGAACTAATCGGCTGCTAGCCTTCACAACTAATTGACTGTTAGCCGTAGCCTCTGGCTTCACCCGTAAAGTCTTCATCCGACTCTTGAGCTGTGGTAGCTCCTCTATATGCCTAGTAAAGTCGTTGTTTTGTCAACAGCATTAGCCTTGTGTAGGCGCTTACCCTTGTTTAACTAGTAGTGTCTAGTTAGTGTGTGATTTTGTGATTAGAAATTCGATTGGAATCAAGATTGTTAAGCTTGTACACTTGATCGTCTATACGTCACTTTTAGCTTGTTATGACTAAGAGAATCTTCGAGTCTAAGATTTCCTCTGTTAAGGAGCGCTAAGTATGTTCGCTAAAAGAGAGCATTCTGCCACTCATATTGGTTGCTGTAACGGGGCAGTCTGAAGCTTGTACTGGTGACAGTACAAGCTACTTATTCTGATAACAGAATAAGGCGGTGCCTCGTAACTTCACGTACACTCGTACGTGCAGAGGAAGACGGTAAGAAGAAGCGAGTATTTGGTTAGAGTAAAAAGTAGAACTGTATTTATAATAGTTAATGTCTGTTAATAAACCACTATTTATTCATCTTCATCTAACTATGTCTAAATACAAATGTGTAAATCAGTTATCTGCTCACCACTCATTGCGTGCGTCTGTCGTGGCGCGTCTTCGTTGGTTGATGTCATGGCCTATATCAACCAATTAGGAACTACTCGAAAGTGCTGTAGAATAACTGTCCTTACGACAATATTCTGAGAATATAACTCTTATAGTTATCTTCTATTAACAATTTCTTATAAATTGTTATGTAACGATTCACCCCGTTACATCACCCCCCCTTAACCATCAGTCACTTTAGTGACTGATTGACTAAATGGATACTCGTCCCAAATCATTTGGGACAGGGTTTGCACTTGTTGGTCCGCGTCCACTTTCCAACATTTCATCGCATGGTAAACAAGCCCATGCGATGCGCGAGCAAGGCCGCCGAGAGCGCGTCTGCACGTCTCTGTGCGGACGCCGAAGCAGAAACAACAGCAACTGATGTCTCATCGGTTGCTGAAGCGACCCAGCCTGTGTCACATGGTGATGCAGGCGCTGGTCATGAAGACACTCATGTCTTCACAGAGCACGAGCTCGGTGTCTCGTACTCTCCTGATACGGAAGACAGATCCGTATCGACGGCGATCGAATCCAAGCCGCCTGCCAAGAGTGGCATGGACGATGCTTTGCGTCGCAGCATCTTTGGTTCATCTGATTCATCAGATGAACCATCGCCGAAGCGAAGGCGCTCGAGGTCGCGAGACTCGGGCGCTAACAGTGGTGTTGGTTCTCCAATGGACACCACTTCACAGCGAGGTGCCAGTACTTCTGTCGGCACGTCGCAGGAAGAGCGGGACCGCAACATGTTGCGTCTCGCTCCAGAAAAGAAGGCATGGCTATCTCCAAAGTCAGTCATGGATTGCTTGTCGGCGACAACAAGTGATCGCTATCGAACACGATTGTTCGATTCGTCAAGGATCCATCACCTTGACCCCAGCGCGAAAAACTATCGCGCTGAACATGAATTCTTCATCGATGCTTTCTTTAGACATCGATGGTACAGTGGGAATCACAAACTTGATGGTCCCTCACTGCTTCAAGCGTGGAACGCCTACATCCATAACCTCGAGGATGTAGGTCGTGACGCTTGGAACGACAAACTTATCAGCGCTCGTGATAAGTTTGAAAAGCGAACCCCGACAGGTGCACGCTACAAGCTGCATCGTCTGTCAAGGGAGAAAGGATTACCCTGCCTCTCTTGGGGAGACTCGTGCCCATGTTGTGTGAACAACTCTGCACGAGCACCGAAGGAGGCTTACCTCCTTACCAGCCCGTGGTGGCGCGTACGTGTCTCTACTGAGATGTACGAAGGGATTGACAACCTGAAATCCCTTTACGACCGTGCCGGGAAGACTTTCTCCGGCGGTCCTTCTGCGGCACAGGATGTGCCGCGTCGTACTGCTCAACCAGACCCAGTACGCCGATCATCAGTTGGGAGCGGGGCTCCCAAGAATCCCAGGACGGGGGATAGCCGCGCCACCGGACGAGATAACTCGTCCGACGTCCGTTCACGTCGCGGTGGTTCAACAGCTGATCAATCAGATAGCGCTGGCCACCGCGAGAGTCCTCTAATGAGGTGGAGGAGGAGGAAAGACTCTCTCCACACGATCGTGGGGATCCGTGTGTTCCCGAGAGCTTCTTTGATCGCGTAACGCAAGGGTTACGCGACGATCTCGAACATGAGCGGAATAGGCGTCTCCAACTGGCGGACACTGTCTTGAAGCATCGAGCTGAGTTCGCCTTTGCTCAGCTCGAGAACGAGAGATCTCGTACATCTCTTCGTGACGAGCTAAGGGTAGCTCGTGGGATTGTTGATCGGTCTCGTGCTGAGATAACTGCTCTTCAGACCCTTGTTGATGCCCACCATCGGGAGCACAAGGCTCTCTGCGAGATGCTTGAGCGTAAGGGCGTTCTTCATCGGAAGAAGCAGCGTACTGATGGTACGGCTTAAGTCGACCAACGTAAAACGTGGGATGCGTTCGCATCTTACGTGGTAACTCGATCGTGTATGCATTGCCTAGGCGGTGCAATACACGAAATGGGCCGATGTACTTGGGTAGTAGTTTACTGCTACCCAAGTTAGTCAATACATGCTTTGGTAGATTAACCGTAGACAGTAGGACTAAGTCATCTTTATTAAATACAAGAGTGTTTGCCCTTCCATTCTTGTCAGCGTTTTGCTTTTGCTTATCCACCGCTTGGGCGATGGAGTCTTTCACAAAACGGACTACCGTTTCACGAGCCAGTATGAACTCATCTGATGACTCGTTAGCTTCAGTGTGCTGTGAGCGCACTGCAGCAACATCAACCTTTTCTTCAGTGAGGGCTTCCGCACTCTCACTGGGATCATCTTCTTCAGTGAGGGCTTCCGCACTCTCACTGGCATCATCTTCTTCGATATCGATGTTATCGATATCGGCATCAAACGCAATGACTTCTTCGTCAGAGCGTGATGAGCGTGAACCAAATCGGTTTTTGCTCGCGCGAGTCCCTCCCCCCTCCCTTAAACCATAGTTACACTCTAGTAAGGTGGGTACACGCGGATGGCGCAAGCCATTCACGTAAAACGGTGTATGTGTCGTGGACGTATGCACCGAGTTGTTGATGGCAAACTCTACCATTGGCAAAAACTCACTCCAACTCTTAAAGGAGTGTACGTATCCTCGAAGTATCTCTTCAAGGACACGGTTGGCACGTTCCGTCTGACCATCTGACTCTGGATGATCAGATGTAGACATCTTCAAGCGCGTTCCGAGTGATTTGAACACGGAACGCCAGAAATCAGCAGTGAATCGTGGATCTCTGTCTGATACGAGTTCACGGGGCAACCCATGAAGTCGGAAGATGGTGTCAATAAAGACACAAGCACAGCCACTTGCCGTGATTGTCTCTGGTACAGCCACAAGGTGTACCATTTTGCTGAATCTGTCAACAAATACGAGAATACCCGTAGTCCCGCGTGCGTCTTTGGGTAACCCGAAGACAAAATCCATTGAGGTGGATTCCCAGCACTCAGCCGGAACCGGTAGAGGCTGTAAAGGTGCACGCAGTGAAGGACTTGACTTCACTCGTTGACAGACTTCGCATGCGCTAATATACTTTCGCACAAACTGATACTGGCGGGGCCAGTAAAAGTCTTGACTCACCGTGAGATGTGTTTTCTCACGGCCACGATGTCCTCCTATAGGAGCATCGTGATACTCGAACATGATCCGCAAACGCAGATCAGTATCATCTGGAATGACAACACGTGGTGTGTCACCAGAAACGGCTGTATAACACAGTAAACCGTTACGAGTAGTGTATCGATCTGATGCAGATCGATACGCAGACGACAATCGTTTCAACGATTCTCGAGATGGCTGTGAGAGATGTGCCAACAGCTTCACAATCTCACCATCTTTGGCATACGCCCGCCCCACATCATCATGCAACGTTGAAGATGGGACTGAGGACGTCATAACCGCAACAGTGGCTGTCTCACTGTTGGGTTTCACGACTGGTTCAAAGTCGGGACGACGTGAGAGTGCATCAGCGACGACATTAAGTCGTCCTGGTTTGTACTCGACCGTAAAGTTGTATTCCGCAAAGAATGACAACCACCGCGCCATTCGTTGTGAAAGTTGCGGGCTGTTTATTGCCGTGCGTAATGACGCATGGTCAGTGTAAACAACGAAGGGTCTATCTCCTAATAGATAGACTCTGAACTTCGCGAGTGCATACTTCACGGCAAGGAGTTCCTTGTCATGCACTGGATAGTTCCGCTCAGCTGGTTGCAGCTGACGCGACTGATAGCAGACGACGCGTTCAATGCCTTCAAGATCGTGCTGCATTAATGCACAGCCGATTGCGAAATCGCTGGCATCACAGACCACATGAAATGGCCTGTCCTGATCGGCTATTGCTAGGACTGGGGATTTTATCAAGCTCTGCTTGATACCCTCAAAGGAGCGCTGACATTCAGCGTTCCATAACCACCTCTCGTTCTTTTTCAACAAACGAGAGAGGTGCACAGTCATCTCGGCGTAATTTCGTAAATACTTGTGCAAATACGCCGCTAGCCCAAGGAATTTTCGAAGACCTTTGACATCAACCGGCACAGGCCAGTCGGTGATCGCCTTGATCTTTTCGGGATCAGGACGTACACCGTTCTTACCAACGATGCACCCAAGAAGTGGTATTTCGCTTGCTGCAAATATACACTTCTTGAGGTTTGCATACAATTGATGCTTTCGCATGATTGTAAGAACCTGTCGGACGTGGTACCTGTGAACCTCAACGTCCGACTTTCCATCCATAGCTCGACTATGGATGAATACGTCATCGAAATAACTCGGTGCGAATTCTCGTACTGGTCTCAACAGATGTGATACACATATGTTAAACGTGGCAGGGGCATTACTAAGCCCTTGTGGCATTACTAGCCATTCCCAGAGCATGCCGCTAGGCGTGCTAACTGCGGTATAGGGTATATCCCATTCTCGCATAAGGATTTGATAGAAGCCATCCATCAAATTCATGGACGAAAAGATGGTACTCTTTGACATACCATCAATGATTACGTCCTTCCTCGGTATCGGCGTCTGAGCCGGTACCGTTGCAGCGTTCAATTTGTTGAACGCGTGCACAATCCGCCACCCTCCTGTTGCTTTTCGCACACAGAAGGTCGGAGAGCTATGTGGGGAAGTTGATTCCCTCACATGGCCCGCAGCTAAACGATCGGCAAAGAACTTGTCGATCGCAAGTACTTGTTCACGAGGCAGTGGCCACTGCTTCATGACACAGTACTTCGAGCCTGGTTTAAGCTCGACCTCGTGTCGAATACCTTTATCCTTCGGTAATTCGCACGGAACAGTTTCAGGGAATACATCCTTGAATTCAACCAAATCTCTATAGAGAGGATTTGTCTTGAGCGATTCCCACGATTGGGAGTCATATCGCTCAATTCGTGTCTTTTCATCTAGGACACTCTCGTCCATAGATGAACTACTGAGAACTCTCTCGTTCTCAGTGAACACTGTTGCTGACCTTAAGTTGGCTACACACTCGTCGTCAGCGACGAGTACGCAGATCTGCTTGACTTTGCCACTACACAGATCACGCAAGAACCTTTTATGTTCGAGCGTTGGCAACTGAGTGATCTCCGAAGTCAACTTCGGAGGCGCAATCAGATCAAGTGTATAAGCGCCTACACTTGATCCGTTATTGACTAGGACATTTGATGTCTCTGTCATTTCCTGGGGACTTATTCCCTCAGGCTTCGAAGGACTTATTCCTTCGGCTTCCCGGGGACTTATTCCCGCGGGTTTCGGGGAACTTATTTCCGCCGTATTTGTAATTTTGGGACTTATTCCCTTAACTTCCTCTAGCTGGGGTTGCGCAACCACAGCGAGATCCTCTACGAAAGACTCTCCAGTCGATCTAGGATTATCGTTTCGCTTAACCTGAGCGATCGATTGTTTCTCTTCTAGATGTTCCCCTCTAGGGATACATCTTTGTCCCAGTACACTCGACTTATTCGAGTTGTGGACCTTCGGCGCAGCCTGTGTTTCCTCACAGCCGCCGGAACTTTGCTCCGAAGTGTAACCGTTTGTTACACTAAGGGTTTGTGCAGTTGTACTAACGACCGTACCATATATGAGGCCATCGCACTCACTCGTAGTACATCCACACGCGTGTGGACGCTCCAAAACGTTCATCAGATGACCATCTGATGAACAAGCGGCAGGCATCGTTACTGTTCGATGTTGCCAGTTTACTCGTGGTTCGTACCTTCTGAGCCACGGTATTCCAAGGATGACATCAAATTTGTCATCCAATTCCAATACGATAAAGTCATCTTCATATTGGGTATCTTCTAGCGTATAGCGGATCTTCACTATATGCTTCATGACGGTTACGGATGCGCCTGTCGCAAGACGTACCGTCATCCTCGTAGGAGGTGTGTCACATTCACTGAATTTAAAGTGACCATTTTCTAGCGATTGGCGTTGCACAAAATTGTTAGACGCCCCACAATCGACTAGAGCTCGAAGGGACAACTTATTCGTCACTTCGAGTTTCAAGGTAATGAGTGAGACCTCATTACCTAGAGCAGCAACGCACAACGTTTGTGTGTTGGGAGCAACCTTCATCAAGAGGCCTACAAATTCTCTTGACGTTGCTAGACCAGTAGAGTGCTCCGCACCTACTGATCCTGTCCGTTTTTTGACGGTCCATCCCGTTGTTGCATCTTTGCACCAACAGCGGACCCGCGTCCCTGCCCCTTTCTCATGGGTGGACGGTCACTACGCCCAGTGTTGCGAGACACTGGACGAGGGGCACTACACTCGTAAGCGTAGTGTCCTGTCTTTTGACATCTGTTGCATCTCTGCAACTTCTTGTAGCCTGTAGAGCGAGCCTTCTCGCTCTCTACATAACAGAGTTCCATCGGCTCTGGACCTCCGTTGTCATATCGTCTCGGTTGACGATATGATGTCGAGCTGGCGCGAGCCTGTCTCAGACTGAAGTCTTCCTGTTTCGCAATGGAAATGGCTTGTTCTAGTGAATCTAGTTCGAGCCGGAACAGGTGAGTCTTGACGGGACCATCCGCAAGACCCTGCATGAACACCGAAACCAACGTGTGTTTATCCACCGGATTGGAACTTATACAACTCGTGAGATGTCGTATATGTTGCGCGTAAGCGTGCACATCACGCTTACCTTGTCTGAGCTTCAAGAGTTCGATTCGAGCTCTGAACTCAGCTCTAGGCGGTTCAAACGTTTGTCTGAGCCGCGACTTGAAGACTTCCAACGACCCAAACGCATATGGGTCGTGCAACTTGAGCCCCAAAGCCCAAGTCTTGGCACGTCCTGCCAGATTTGATTGGGCAAATGCAACTTGCATATCCCCGTCGTTGATGCGACGCGCCCTTATGGCGTCATCCAATTCGACGAACCATCTCAAGAGGGAGTCCTCTTTGACTCCCCTATACTTGGAGATGTCAATCTTCAAAGTCTCGGGTCGACGCGAGTGCATCGACCCACCAGCAGCAGCCTGCTGCTGTCTCAACAGTTCAAACTGTTGAGCACCCTGTTCTCTCAAAAACTCTGCTTGTTGAGAACCTTGTTGGTGAAGCAAGGCTACTTTCTCGCGTTCAAGGTCAAGTTCATTTTGAATGAACTTGGCGATAGTAGCATGTTGGGCATCTCTATTGAGAGCCTCTAGCATGACACTAACAGCATGGATGCCCATGGTTGAACCCATTCTGTAACGGGGTGAATCGTTACATAACAATTCATAAGAAATTGTTAATAGAATATAACTATAAGAGTTACATTCTCAGAATATTGTCATAAGGACAAATATTCTGTAGCACTTACGAGTAGTTCCTGATTAGTTGATATAGGCCATTATATCAACCAACGAAGACGCGCCACGACAGACGCATGCAAAGAGTGGTGAGCAGATAACTGATTTACACATTTGTATTTAGACATAGTTAGATGAAGATAAATAGTGATTTATTGCAGACATTAACTATTATAAATACAGTTCTACTTTTTACTTTAACCAAGTACTCGCTTCTTCTTACCGTCTTCCTCTGCACGTACGAGTGTACGTGAAGTTACGAGGCACCGCCTCATTCTGTTATCAGAAAAAGTAGCTTGTACTGTCACCAGTACAAGCTTCAGGGTGCCCCGTTACACCTGGTAGCACTTCGTAGTCCGTCCAAGGACCACGTTCACATCTAACATGAATATGTTGGATGATGAAGATGACCAAAGCTTTCGCGCTACGCGTGACGGCTACTCCCATTTGAGCGATGTCGAGTGGGATGCGGTTGAACGAATGGGTTCAACCATGGGCATCCATGCTGTTAGTGTCATGCTAGAGGCTCTCAATAGAGATGCCCAACATGCTTCTATCGCCAAGTTCATTCAAAATGAACTTGACCTTGAACGCGAGAAAGTAGCCTTGCTTCACCAACAAGGTTCTCAACAAGCAGAGTTGTTGAGAGAACAGGGTGCTCAACAGTTTGAACTGTTGAGACAGCAGCAGGCTGCTGCTGGTGGGTCGATGCACTCGCGTCGACCCGAAATCTTGAAGATTGACATCTCCAAGTATAGGGGAGTCAAAGAGGACTCCCTCTTGAGATGGTTCGTCGAATTGGATGACGCCATAAGGGCGCGTCGCATCAACGACGGGGATATGCAAGTTGCATTTGCCCAATCAAATCTGGCAGGACGTGCCAAGACTTGGGCTTTGGGGCTCAAGTTGCACGACCCATATGCGTTTGGGTCGTTGGAAGTCTTCAAGTCGCGGCTCAGACAAACGTTTGAACCGCCTAGAGCTGAGTTCAGAGCTCGAATCGAACTCTTGAAGCTCAGACAAGGTAAGCGTGATGTGCACGCTTACGCGCAACATATACGACATCTCACGAGCTGTGTAAGTTCCAATCCGGTGGATGAACACACGTTGGTTTCGGTGTTCATGCAGGGTCTTTCGGATGGTCCCGTCAAGACTCACCTGTTCCGACTTGAACTGAATTCACTAGAACAAGCCATTTCCATTGCGGAACAGGAAGACTTCAGTCTGAGACAGGCTCGCGCCAGCTCGACATCATATCGTCAACCGAGACGATATGACAGAGGAGGTCCAGAGCCGATGGAACTCTGTTATGTAGAGAGCGAGAAGGCTCGCTCTACAGACTACAAAAAGTTGCAGAAATGCAACAGATGTCAAAAGACAGGACACTACGCTTACAAGTGTAGTGCCCCTCGTCCAGTGTCTCGCAACACTGGGCGTAGTGACCGTCCACGCATGAGAAAGGGGCAGGGACGCGGGTCCGCTGTTGGTGCAAAGATGCAACAACGGGATGGACCGTCAAAAAACGGAGGATCAGTAGGTGCGGAGCACCCTACTGGTCCAGCATCGTCAAGAGAATTTGTAGGCCTCTTGATGAAGGTTGCTCCCAACACACAAACGTTGTGCGTTGCTGCTCTAGGTAATGAGGTCTCACTCATTACCTTGAAACTCGAAGTGACAATTAAGTTGTCCCTTCGAGCTCTAGTCGATTGTGGGGCGTACGAGAATGTTGCGTGCTGCGACGCCAATCGCTACCGACGATGGCGCACTGAGATCTCCGGGGGGGGGTTATATACGCTAGAAGATAACCAATATGAACGATGACTTTATCGTATTGGAATTGGATGACAAATTTGATGTCATCCTTGAGAATACCGTGGCTCAGAAGGTACGAACCACGGGTAAACTGGCAACATCGAGCAGTAACGATGCCTGCCGCTTGTTCATCAGATGGTCATCTGATGAACGTTTTGGAGCGTCCACACGCGTGTGGATGTACTACGAGTGAGTGCGATGGCCTCATATATGGTACGGTCGTTAGTACAACTGCACAAACCCTTAGTGTAACAAACGGTTACACTTCGGAGCAAAGTTCCGGCGGCTGTGAGGGAAACACAGGCTGCGCCGAAGGTCCACCACTCGAATAAGTCGAGTGGACTGGGACAAAGATGTATCCCTAGAGGGGAACATCTAGAAGAGAAACAATCGATCGCTCAGGTTAAGCGAAACGATAATCCTAGATCGACTGGAGAGTCTTTCGTAGAGGATCTCGCTGTGGTTGCGCAACCCCAGCTAGAGGAAGTAAAGGGAATAAGTCCCAAAATTACAAATACGGCGGAAATAAGTTCCCCGAAACCCGCGGGAATAAGTCCCCGGGAAGCCGAAGGAATAAGTCCTTCGAAGCCTGAGGGAATAAGTCCCCAGGAAATGACAGAGACATTGAATGTCATAGTCAATAACGGATCAAGTGTAGGCGCTTATACACTTGATCTGATTGCGCCTCCGAAGTTAACTTCGGAGATCACTCAGTTGCCAACGCTCGAACATAAAAGGTTCTTGCGTGATCTGTGTAGTGGCAAAGTCAAGCAGATCTGCGTACTCGTCGCTGACGACGAGTGTGTAACCGACATAAGGTCAGCAACAGTGTTCACTGAGAACGAGAGAGTTCTCAGTAGTTCATCTATGGACGAGAGTGTCCTAGATGAAAAGACACGAATTGAGCGATATGACTCCCAATCGTGGGAATCGCTCAAGACAAATCCTCTCTATAGAGATTTGGTTGAATTCAAGGATGTATTCCCTGAAACTGTTCCGTGCGAATTACCGAAGGATAAAGGTATTCGACACGAGGTCGAGCTTAAACCAGGCTCGAAGTACTGTGTCATGAAGCAGTGGCCACTGCCTCGTGAACAAGTACTTGCGATCGACAAGTTCTTTGCCGATCGTTTAGCTGCGGGCCATGTGAGGGAATCAACTTCCCCACATAGCTCTCTGACCTTCTGTGTGCGAAAAGCAACAGGAGGGTGGCGGATAGTGCACGCGTTCAACAAATTGAACGCTGCAACGGTACCGGCTCAGACGCCGATACCGAGGAAGGACGTAATCATTGATGGTATGTCAAAGAGTACCATCTTTTCGTCCATGAATTTGATGGATGGCTTCTATCAAATCCTTATGCGAGAATGGGATATACCCTATACCGCAGTTAGCACGCCTAGCGGCATGCTCTGGGAATGGCTAGTAATGCCACAAGGGCTTAGTAATGCCCCTGCCACGTTTAACATATGTGTATCACATCTGTTGAGACCAGTACGAGAATTCGCGCCGAGTTATTTCGATGACGTATTCATCCATAGTCGAGCTATGGATGGAAAGTCGGACGTTGAGGTTCACAGGTACCACGTCCGACAGGTTCTTACAATCATGCGAAAGCATCAATTGTATGCAAACCTCAAGAAGTGTATATTTGCAGCAAGCGAAATACCACTTCTTGGGTGCATCGTTGGTAAGAACGGTGTACGTCCTGATCCCGAAAAGATCAAGGCGATCACCGACTGGCCTGTGCCGGTTGATGTCAAAGGTCTTCGAAAATTCCTTGGGCTAGCGGCGTATTTGCACAAGTATTTACGAAATTACGCCGAGATGACTGTGCACCTCTCTCGTTTGTTGAAAAAGAACGAGAGGTGGTTATGGAACGCTGAATGTCAGCGCTCCTTTGAGGGTATCAAGCAGAGCTTGATACAATCCCCAGTCCTAGCAATAGCCGATCAGGACAGGCCGTTTCATGTGGTCTGTGATGCCAGCGATTTCGCAATCGGCTGTGCATTAATGCAGTACGATCTTGAAGGCATTGAACGCGTCGTCTGCTATCAGTTGCGTCAGCTGCAACCAGCTGAGTGGAACTATCCAGTGCATGACAAGGAACTCCTTGCCGTGAAGTATGCACTCGCGAAGTTCAGAGTCTATCTATTAGGAGATAGACCCTTCGTTGTTTACACTGACCATGCGTCATTACGCACGGCAATAAACAGCCCGCACCTTTCACAACGAATGGCGCGGTGGTTGTCATTCTTTGCGGAATACAACTTTACGGTCGAGTACAAACCAGGACGACTTAATGTCGTCGCTGATGCACTCTCACGTCGTCCCGACTTTGAACCAGTCGTGAAACCCAACAGTGAGACAGCCACTGTTGCGGTTATGACGTCCTCAGTCCCATCTTCAACGTTGTATGATGATGTGAGGCGGGCATACGCCCAAGATGGTGAGATTGTGAAGTTGTTGACACATCTCTCCCAACCGTCTCGAGAATCGTTGAAACGATTGTCGTCTGCGTATCGATCTGCATCAGATCGATACACTACTCGTAACGGTTTACTGTGTTATACAGCCGTTTCTGGTGACACACCACGTGTTGTCATTCCGGATGATACTGATCTGCGTTTGTGGATCATGTTCGAGCATCACGATGCTCCTATAGGAGGACATCGTGGCCGTGAGAAAACATATCTCACGGTGAGTCGAGACTTTTACTGGCCCCGCCAGTATCAGTTTGTGCGAAAGTATGTTCGCACATGCGAAGTCTGTCAACGAGTGAAGTCAAGTCCTTCACTGCGTGCACCTTTACAGCCTCTACCGGTTCCGGCTGAGTGCTGGGAATCCACCTCAATGGATTTTGTCTTCGGGTTACCCAAAGACGCACGCGGGACTACGGGTATTCTCGTATTTGTTGACAGATTCAGCAAAATGGTACACCTTGTGGCTGTACCAGAGACAATCACGGCAAGTGGCTGTGCTTGTGTCTTTATTGACACCATCTTCCGACTTCATGGGTTGCCCCGTGAACTCGTATCAGACAGAGATCCACGATTCACTGCTGATTTCTG